AGTAGCTGGGATCTCGTTAAACATCACGTAGAAATGTTTTGCACTCTGTCTACGGGAAATCGCCACTTTCAGGCTACAAGATGATTAAACTGGCGCTTGGCGAAGCGGACCTCTACGTGCATGCGGGCGGTGCACGGCGGTGGGACGTGTGCGCGCCCTCGGCGATCCTGGTGGCGCGCGGTGGAGTGGTGCGCACCCTGGTGGGTGACCCTCTCCACTTTCATCACAATGACCCCAGCGACCTTGACTCCCACCAAGGCATCTTTGCAGCTGCCTCGCTTGACCTCTTTAACACTTGGGCATCCACTGTCGCCTCGCTCATTTCAAATATCCCTCCCACTGACACTTAGTTTGTAATAAGTCATTATTTTTTTCCGTTCCGTGTTTTCATGTTGTTTTTGGTTTTTTCGAGGCTTTTTACTTTGCGATGTTGCGGTTGCCGCATTACCAAGTGAGTGCCGGTTGTTTCTTGTTGGCTCGAGGAAAGGAGTGGGATGATGTTCCCTTCCTCATTTGCTGTTATCTGCCAGAAGTTCGCTCTCCATCTCGTCTGAACCCTGAATTGCAATTTGTAGAGGGAATTAGTATTTCAGGACTAGTACAGAAGCCCAGCTTGAAGTAGTGAATGGGATGAGGAAGTCCATCCATTGATACCTGGAAGTAATTGAAGAAATTAGAAGCAGTATGGGCGGGATTAATTTCGCAGGTCCATTGTTTCGTGACGGAGTGGTGCTGATCCCTACCGCTTCGCAATGCTCCAGACTTCATTGGCTTACGTTTTGGCCGAGCCAGGTTAGCTCATAGCCGTCATCAGTGAAGCACTTTCTTCTGGTCATGTCACAAAAGCGAAAATCCAAACCACAAGGATTGAAGAGCTCACTTATTTGCGTGTACAATTAAAAGTAAAATATCGCCTACAATACTACGGGAAAATATGTGTTTGCTTCGCATTATACTGATATATATGCAACAAGGAAAAAGTGAAACGATTAGTGGAATCCTACACAGTTTCAATTTACAGTGTAATTCAGTTTAATCCGCAGGTGGAAAATGGGGGTTTCGTAGCAATGTTTAATAATAGTGTGACCTAAATCCAAACAGAATGTGAGATATTATAGGCAATAACCGTGTTTGTTTTAAGACTTCGCCCCCATAATGACGTATCTGTCGTGATTTTATAGTTATATTTTATGCTTGTCTTTATTCATGTAATTGCGTCACATCCAAATGTGTTTCAAGAAAATAAGAAGCAAACAAGAAGCCTCGTAATTTGCTTTATCCTACATATTGAGGGCACACCTGTATTTATTTTTCATTCTTGACCAGCCTAGAAGTGCACCTTGTTTGCATAAACCAATTTCTTTGCAAAGGTTGCGTTAAATCTGCTTTGAAATTCTCACCCCTTCGTTCCAGCACGATCTGGTCTGTACCTACCGTCCAACCTTGGTATATTTCCGCTGTTCATTCACTTTTATTATAAGTTGTGCACCTTACTATACCGTATATTTTGGAGGTATGTTTAATAAGCTTGCCTTTGCCATCACTTGTTGTTTGTTTGTTTTGCAACTGATTTGTCAGTTTCCAAATTTGGGGGTTAATCGAAATGGGACACTTTTATCTCTACTACTGTTTATATGTCTATTCTGGTCCATTCCCTTGAAATTTCTGGTTCTGCTTGATTCGATTAGGAATTTATCGAAATCAATTCCTTTATATATGTGGTGAACTTGTTAAACTACTTTCGTCTCACTATTTGTGTGATAAATGAATCTTGGGTTCCTAGATCTTTATTACTAGCAACTTTGGAATTGTCTTTGCCAGGTTCATTGGCAGCTTTTGCTGTTAAAATAGGATTTATTAGTACACTGTCAACATATTCACGCTTTTGCGAATATTAGCTCCCTTGTAGAACTGCAGCGCTTCTTTGTAGAAGTATTTGTATTGGTGATGGGCAAAATTAGGGAAGAATTCTAGTCTTGGAGTGGACCCGATGACGCGGGAGACCTGAGTTGGAATTAAAGTAGGTGAACAATTGGAGTTGGTTGTGATGATTCCGGAACATGGGTGAAATAGTAGACCATTCAGGGGATTCGGTCCTTAGATGAGTGTTTCGGGTACGAAAGTTTTGGTTTTTTACTACACCATGTCGTTAGGTATTAAAAAAAGATATCGCTATCGTTAGCAGGCATATTGGTGGCGATAAGTGACCATATTTAGGGGAGGAGTGTTTGACCTTTAGGAAAAGCTAACCTAATTTTCTGAACCAAGCTCCCTGAATTTGTGTAAGGGAATTAAACTTAAAAATTTGCATCCGATCAATTGTAAGTGGCTTAAATTGAAGACCTGTGGAAATGGTTGCTCGTAGTATTGTCATTGGTCGCATCTTGACCGAGCTTTCTTGGGGTCTGGGTGCTCAAATACGCGACGTCTACTTGCTGGACTACAACCACCTCGACTTCGTTTGGGGCGTAGACGCTGCCTCACACATCTACCGCAACATCATTCACTTCTTCCGACAGCATCGGTGGTCCCTTCTCCTTCGGCACCTTTAATGTGATTCACTTTTTACAATGTTAGCATACTCGTGTTTCCATTCAAAGTACTTTCATTGATGCTCACTACTTTCTACACCGTACAACGCATGTTTGAGTCCACTTTCAACTGAAATGAGTAGCTGAAATTTGACAACTGTTAATGGGGAAACTATGTTTGATGAGGGATTAGGTCCCATTTATTGCAGTCTTCGGCTTGTTTACTCCGTTAATAGGATCGTCAGCGATGTCGAGCGACATCTGGTAACTGGTTATGCTAAATGCTGTAGCAGGCCGATTGGCCGAGTTCAAAAGAATGCAGTAGACGTAGCACGTTCTTTGCATGGGGAGTAAGTAATTGGGTGTTTGAATGTGTTTAGCAGATTGGGGAACGTAGAGTAGGCGGTAGTAGATGTGATGACTAGGTCATCTTTTTCAGTTGTTTGATGTCTTTTACGCAAATCCGAGGCATCAATCTAGGTATTGATGGTAGCTCGCTCAACGCTACAAGTTGACGCAGATACTTCGCTTTATTCCTTTTTCTGGATGTATGTGACAGTGAAAAATAAACTTGGAAGTTGGCATTCAGAACTGTGAGTTAGCTAGTGTTTATTAAGAGGTCACCTCCGGTGGATAACCATCTCGTTTTAAGACAGCAATACATCATTTTAAAGTGCTGAGTAGCCTTTAGAGTACTGCAGTATTCTCCCTGGAGAGGTGAGTGAATAAGAGTACACATTAAATCGCACCGTGAATAAAAGTTGTCGCATTTGTTGGATGTCATGTTCATGTCAAGCTTTTGAACCAGTACGACCATAATAAAGGAAATAGGAATTACCAACCACCAATCGGCATGTGGAGTTACGTAAATAAAGTAGCCCCCAGAGGAGGCTCCTTTCGAATTCCACCAGAGTCTACGTGAGATCTGACCCTTTTTTCCAGTAAATATGCTGGTACTTCCAAAGCATTTTTTTAAAGACACCCTTTCCTTATGCACAAGTGTTTCGAAGGGCCCAAAATGCTGAACCATTTACGACATGATCGCCTAATCTCGTAAGGTGATTTCAATTTGGCTTGAAAGTGGTAACTTGGTTGATATGCCACCCCACCATGGTGGTGCCACAGACTTTTTGACCTTCATAGTCGTTTACTTATAAGAAGGTACGAAACCTACAGAAAGCAGATTTATCAATGGCAAGGTCTTGGACTAGCTACTATGGTTTATCCTACAAGACGTTTACTATTCATAAAGTCAGAGGTGTCTGGGTGCATTTAATTATCAATTACCTAGTAAAATCGACTGAATGTGCGCTTTTGACACATCCAATTTCCATTCCCTTCCATCAGAAATGTCCAGCCGTTGAAGAAATGCAAATGTGTTTCACCAGGAGGACTAAACGAATCATCCGCACTCGCATTATCCCATTTTTCTAATGCATTGCATTGCGTATCCCGGTCGTGGTCTAAACTACTCGCTTTGATTTCCAAACCCGCATATCATAAAGTGCCAACTGAACTTGACGGATGTGTTCAAGCTTGTCTGCCCTACCGCGCAAATTAAACTCGGTTGCCAAAGTTGGTGAGGGTTCTTCTACAGGACCCGGATAAGCCACTCAAAAATGACTCTCATGGTCTGATTCTGGTGATGACTAGCGTTACTGGTACTTTGGGTTTACTGAATGTTAACGCTACTTTTTGATATACATGCTACGTATCAATAAGTCTACTTACATACTGAAGTAGGTACATAATTTTCTTTTAAGCGATCCCGAAAAGGCAACAGAAATGACTTCACTGGGAAAAAAATAATATAAGTGAATCAAGATCGTTAAATAGGTTGAATCTCTAGCTTGGTCTGCATTTTACAGAAATAGATATATATAGATACAATCGGGAGTCGTACTGGTGGTACGGATGATCGGAGACCACCTCTTTTGAGACAGATTGGCGATATTTTCTTGGATAGATGCAATGCTTGAAAAAATGAAGGGTCGGAATGCTGCACCTTGACATAGATCTACGCAACGAGATCACTTTCGCAGATCGTTACCGTTCCTCCACTCAATTCTATAAACGTAAAAGTAAAGCAGTCTTAACAAAGTTTTACGTTTGTTATGCAGTTAACTCATTTTTTTTCCGATTTTAAACGTCGCTCACATTACATTCTCTTGTTTTTATCGTTTACTACGCATATGCCTTGGTCACTTCCAAAGCACCCACCGTCAATGATTTTGGCGGCATCGGTTAGATTGAAGAGCACTTTCCGATGGTAAACAAATGAACTACTGAAACAAATAAGCAAACCACTTTGTATTTACAAATTTGTCCACTTTACCCACATTATCAGTGAATATCTGCCGTACAAACCCCAAATCGTGATTCCTCCCTCACCACCTCGAGGTGACAAAATTAAGTGTAGATTATCACTGACAATGTACGATAAAAATGCGTGAATCGGCGTATAGCTTAATCCAAAAGTAGGTCTTATTTTGTGATGATTAATGGAGTCAATGAATTAGGTAATGTGACATCCTACACAAAATATTGACGTCGTCCTAATATGGTCAATTTGCAAATGACCGTCAGTTCCGATGACCCTTTGGTGTTTTCTACATATCTAATTTGCAATTGTAAAATCACTTAATATCCGTCAGCAGGCCTCACGTACCAAAATACTAGTTTCTATACTTTTTTCTATGCTATTCACCGATGCACTAGCCCCGGGAGCTGAGACTACAGTGACGCTGGAGGTCTGATCGACGCCAGTGTTGCTGGTGGAGGCAGTGGTGGTGACGGAGATTTTGTTGGTGTTATTGAATTGATTTCTGCGTCCGCCACTGCTATCCTGCCACCCGGTGCCCAACATCTCTGGATCGGAGTAGAGATAGGCGTCGGTTGAAGAGCTCATGTTGCCCGAACCACCAGGAGATTCGAATGCCGCAGCACAGTTAAAAGGCCGTCGCCGCGAAGTCTGCGACGACTCACCACAGTCTGATTCGGCCGAATATGCTCCACTTCCAACTCCGCTCAGTGGAGAGCGACACTGCTGACTTCGCACTGATATTGACTGGAATCCATAAAAAGTGTGTGTTTTCAAGTGATTTTAGGGACTATAAAGCCAATTTGTTTACAATTTTGCACAGTACTTTTTGTCCGGTAGTTTGGTACAACAATTTATTATAAAATTCCACTTTTAATGACCGGACCTGACATTTTTACACTCGTTTTGTCTTAACACATGAATGAAGCAAAACTCCGAAAGGTGTTTAGTTACGGTAGCTATTTCTACACCTATCAAGCCGTTGGCAATAGACCTAAAGTTAGCCTCTGAACGGAATTTTCCCATATCTTCTTCCAAGCAACAGAAAAGTCACGTCAAATTTCCCAGTGGTTGTTACCTTTGAAAAATTTACGCTTTTCGAATTCCGGATCCAATATATGATAATTTAAAAGGAAATTTTGTTTATAGCTTGACTTGTTTCTTTCCACGCATGGGAGGAGGAGACATACCCTTACATCCCTATCAATTTACATGCACCGTCGAGATCGCCCTAGCTGCTATTTTTTCATGGTCATCTATGGGAGGGAAAAAGAAACAGAGATACGATATCTTAACTTACCAAAGCCTCACACTGTCTGGTATTTGAAGCACCCTGATTGCCACTTAGCTCCAGAGTGACTTTCGAGGAGTGTTGTGAGCTGTCAAAGCAGTAAGGAAGTAACATAGAGCCACCTAAAATATCTCTGATGATAGGAGAGCAATAAAAAAACTGCCCTAAGCTATGACGCAATTCAACCGCAAAATTATCCTCAATTTATCGGTGATTGAGGTCTGGAAGTTGACGGCAGTGATCCAGAGTCAAGAGAACCCATGAAATTCTCCTCCAAATGGGAATAGTGTTGAGTTGAAGAGAGTGTTGGCCTTTTACGACTTACTTGAGTAAAGCTGTACGTATGTGTGGGTGGGTTTGCGTAGCAAACGAAACGCGCGTAAAATTTTTATTACTGTCTCTGTATTGGTTGGTCGGAGTGGCAGTAAATAATCGAAGTCAAGGTACGGACAACGGAAACACCCCAGTCTAGACCTTGATGTTAGTATAATCAACCTGATTCGGAAATAGCCACCTGCGCATGGCCAACACAAAGAGGGAAAGCATGCAACAATTCATTATCTTCTTTCCCTCACTTCCCTATCTGCCTGTTTCAATCTCTCCAGAACGGGGAGTTGATGGAGAAGATTGATGCACTGCATTCACATGCTATGGCAAAAATGCAAAAATGAAACTTTCTTTGCACCTACTTGCCAGCCGTGCGTTCCTTGGAGTCCAGAATACTGCCATGAGCGGGTTCGGGTGAACAGACTACATCCGTTCCTCGCCCTGATATTCCCGGGTATCCCTGCCACTTCTCCATCACAGATGTAACCTGCTCCAAGAAATAATATTGTTGCACTATTAGTGTAATGTAATTTGCTTCAATTAACTTCCATATATGCAGCTCTGGTCCTAGAGGCAATGAAATCAAGATGTCACATATATGTGACTTTGACAGTTGGAGTTTTGAAGTCAGCAATCCGGTTGTGATTAAGGACCGGTCTATTATCCATTCTTTTCTTAGTGTCCATGCCGCATTCAAAGTAGTATCTCCAGACTGTAATACTCAACGCTAATCATCCGGCTCTGCTGCAGTAAAAGCTATTAGATACAAAAACAGCCGCAACAGAAGCTGGCGGTGATTTTTCCCAACTACCGTGCTCCAACATACTTTTTTGGCATATACTTCACTCAACCCAGTTTGTCAGCCTGTAAACTGAGTGTACCGGTGCATCTCCCCACACGAGTAGGGCAGTTCACACCACCTTACGCAGCAATTCATGTAGCAGCTCCACCACTTTTCAATCCAAATAACTGATCGTTTAAAAGATGTTTATAAAATAGATCTTGCATCAAAATTCTCCTTTCGACAGATTAGCTTTAAACAAATGCTATCAGTTGCTGGGTTGTTTAAATTAGGACGAATTCGATTGGCAATTGCTTCACACCCCCCGCCACCGACTACACCTTATACTAATGCCAACGCCATTTGATTTTGGCGCCCCGCTTCTCGAAACACACCTTTACCACTGTTTCACATCCGCCTTTTTCCCTTCTTCCTGCTTTTTAAACCGATGTCGGTAGTAAAATCGCCCCCCATTCCTAGTAATACCACCTAAGAAGAGACCGCATGAATAATTGTTCAAAGCCATGCTGGCAGCGCATTTTACATTAGGCTAGTAAAAATTTGCCCAAATGGAAGTTTAATTATAAATTCGCTTTAACTATGCCATTCTCATTATGTTAAATTAGGGGCAAAAGATTAATCGCACCGTTAGCAGGAGAAAATAAAATTATACGACTACCAGACAAAGGTGAAGTGAATGAAGTATCCAAAGCAGCCACACAAATCGGGGTGATTTTGTCCGAGGCAGCATTAACACCTTATTTTCATAACCCATTAATTGGCAACTGTACAGGACAAATTATAGTCTTGTAGACAATTTAACTATCAAATCAGAATTGGTCTCTATCTCTCTCCAGACAGGTGGAAGGTAAACTAGCCTATGCCTGATGCGTTCTGCAAATGTGAAGCGTCCTCAAAGAAGAGCGCTCCTCACCTAAGAACTTGTCAAAGTCGATCACAAATAGACACTGAAAGTGAGTCACTCACCGGCATGGCGGTTGAGCTCCCTCTGAGCAGAGCACCCGTTGCCGGGCCGACGGAGTGCGAGAGGTTTCGTGGTCGACTTTTGTGCGAAACGTCGGCCATTTGATGTTGTGGGGAGAGAAGACGATTGCTGCCTCGTCTTTGCAATGACATTGTGTTTCCCACCGTCTGTTCATTCATGCCTGCAGTGGTTAGCAGTGATTCTGTGCCTAACGATCGCTGATGACCCGTCTCGTTAGTGAGAGCTTCCAGAGAGGCCCGTGTACCACTGCTGCGACGAATAAGGCTACAGCTTCGTCTAGGTAGCATTGCGTTTGCTGTTCGCGGTCGTGAAGAGTAGTTTTGTTGATGGTATGGAGGACCAAATGTCAAGTCCTCATTCAGTTTTCCCAACTGGCCTGGACTTGTCTTCAATAGGCGCATTAGTGTCTCCAGTTGGATTGTGAGGTCACGTCGATTACCCTGTACAAATAGGAAAGCGTTACACCTTTTTATTCTCCGTTCTGTCTCCTCTTTTTTAAGCAACTTAGAATGAGAGAATACCTCACATGACATAAACGAGTGGGGGCTCAACGCGGTGACGCCTAGATGTCAGTCTGCCTGAATGTCATCGGACATTTAGTGTTCACAAAGGTTCTAACGTCGATGCTTACATAACAGTTCTCAAAGCTGCATAAGATGAAGGCGGGTGTCGAATTGTGAATCGAATTACCTACTCTAGAGGAGCCTCAACTGTCTTCTTAAGATAAGCTATTGCTCATAAAACTCTCCTGACCCGGTTAAACATACCAGTAACAAAGCAGTTAATGAGACCCATTTATAGTGGATTCCTCTGCCCGCTTCGGTCTTAGGTATCTCTACTAACCTGCAAGTCGTTCATTCTTGCCTCCAGTTCTGATTTGCGCTGACGAAGCGCGTTTAGCTCCGCCACGAGTTGTGGATCTTCGACGTCCGAAGAAGGAAGTTGTGGTTGCACCATGCCTGTTGGAGGTAGTTTGATACCACTGTCTCCCATTGCTGCAGCGATTCCCGCAGTCTGATTTGCCTGTTCCATTTTCAGACGTTGTATTTCCAACAAAATTTCTCTAAAATACACCACTAGCTTAAATTATGCAAAAAATTCATTCAAATAACCCTCCTTAATAGTCCATAAAAGCCAATGTGTACAACCCGGAGGCGCTTTTATCACCAAACGGGGAGAAGGAACTTGAAGAAGTGGATATTTCTGTGTAATGCGGAAGAGAAATCCAACTTTTACACACGACTGTCGATAATCCGATGACTATTCCGACCTTCCGATTATCTTTAGTCGCCTTTTCTGCCTTTTTTACGTTCACAATTAGTTGGAGCGCAACAGGCGCCAGACCTTTTAGCTGGTTAGTGTGGATGAAGGAAAAGATGCGTGAAGCATTGCAATTTTGCTAGTCTTTGAGACAATAATTTTCTTGTCAACCCTGCGACACCAACTCCGATGACAGTGAGATGCTGTTGTATTTTGAAGCGGGAATACTTTTCACCCTCAATGTGGTTGCCTCATTTTTTTATTTTTCCTCTCTCTAGCATTCGGAGGGTCGATTTGAAATGGTCAAAAACGCAAATGTCCGTTGCATTTCCTTTTTTAAATCTACACATAAATGGGATTTTTACTATTAGAAAGAGGCATCACCATTTTAAAATACAGAGTTAAGGAGAGGTGACACGGAAATTCAAGTTGACAATGACCAGTGATAATGTCACGGCAATTAGTGCCTCGTCTCTAACACTCAAATGCATACATGAGGGTACAAATAGATCATCAGGGGTCATAAATTCGTGATTTAGGAAAGAAATTGGGTTGTTAATTCATCGTGTGAAAGGGGAGTGTATTATACCCTCTCCCGTTTCCCGCTGCCACTAGGACATTGTTCATCATCGCCCCAATCGCCACGCACTTGCATACTTATCCCACGACACTATCGCCGGGGTACTGGTTAATTTTATTGTTTGAATAGATGACCCTTGGCCCCTTGGTGAAGCCTTCGTAAAGGCAACACCTTTGCCAAGAACAAAAGGTTTGGAAAATGTAACTCTTTTATTTTCCCTTCAATTAAACTGTCTGCCTGACAGTGTCTACTAGTGATCGTGATCAAAGTTAGGCAATGTATTCTGTGGTGAGCAGTCCAAAGTGGAAGACAATCAAGTCAAGAATTGAGTGACCGTACCTGTTCTTAGCCTCCAACTGAGCTACAAGCTCTCGTTGAGACTGTGTTGACCCCACGGCGTCATTTATGGCCTAAAAATAAAATATAGAAAGAGGAAATCAAGGATTAATTAGTCCCTACTTACCCTACTCGACTATAAAGGTTTGCCCTCTACTTAAACAAACATTTAATCCTTCCCATACTCACTTCCCCCCCCCCAAGGAAAGAGAAGAATCGGTCAGGAAACCACCTAAATTGCATTGTATCACTTTGAGACCTAAATATTCTCAAGTAGTCTCTATTCGGTCTTTCCAACATCACTTGAGCTTTTGCCTTCGAAGGTTGATCTTCCAGAAGTTCTTGATATGCGCCTAAATGGGATGAAAATATTCTAACGATATGCGGGTGCATTCTTTGCCTTGTACAGACGGCAATCCTCGTGCTTTTATTGGTTGGATGGTCGTCTGGGCGTAGCCAGATCTCTTAGCCTTTAAGCGCCAATTGAAATAGCCATCGGCAGAGCGCTACAACATCTCGGCTATGGCAGCCAGCTTTCCTTTAAGATGCCGGAAGTTAACGCGGTAAGTATCAAGTTGTGACAAACCAAAAATATACATACGGTTTTCAGCTTAGAGTTGACACAGCTTTACTCTTTTGTCCACCAAAAAAGTAATTTAAAAGTACTTTGACCATTTAGCTGTCAACAGATTTACCCTTCTCCATTGGATCCTTTAAGCAACAAATACCTGTCCAGAAAGGGTTCTTGAAGCCACCAAACGAGCCGCGTAGCTGGCGATCATTTTATGCTCATCAGGATGTCCGAGGCTAGCCTGGGCTGACATCTGTCTGAAGAGACCTCCTTCAAGTGGATATTGTTGCTGCTGTGTGGCATGTTGAATGTGCTTCCTTCCTAGTGTACCATCTACCATACTCTTGGGTGGTATAATGGAAGCATCTGAGTTTCCGGGTGCGGCGCTGTAAAAATCACAGAGCGTGTAATTAATTCGGTTGCAAGGAGTTCGCAGGTTTCTTGATACATTCCTTCTTGAGGAGTATATTCAAACAAACTGGGAAACCACTACCTGCTCCCATTTTGAAGCTGCCCCATTTTTGAGCGTGAAATACACCATTAGGAAAAGGCAGGCTGGAGGAGCAAATAAGCTCCCCATTCGACTTAAGGCAGGTTTAACCATAAAACCGAGCCTCAAGTATGACTCCTGTGCCTTTTGATCATACAAGATTTATACATAAAAGGGTACAAAAGACAGCTTAGAGGAGAAACGAACCATAAGTATATTTTTAAGGTCTACCACCATCACTTTATGGTGGGAGTAAGCTCACTTTTTAATTAAAGACAAATGAGAAGTCAAATTTACCTTAAATGCAGAAAAGGAGCAGCGGTAGTCGAGACTAGGAAAACGGACAAAGGTAACCAAGTCACCAATGAAGTTGGGCATTTTCAGAAAGCACATCTACACTTAAAATTTTGACAAGAAATAGCCAGAAGACTTAAAAAGTTTTGCTACCCTTTTCTTTCATCCAGACTTAAAATAACGAAAAATTCATGTCTCATGACCACTTTGAGTGATTTTATTATGCAAGCCATTACTCCGTGCTTCAGCGGCTATGATTCCAGCATCTGGTATCCTTCTTCACTCAAATAGCCAAAATCTACATCGTCAACTTTTAAGTCCTCTAAACCAGGGGGTGAATGCGATAACGTTTAGAAGCGTCTTTCACTACTTTTAGCCCGAAGCAGGAAGACAAATTTAATCCAACGCGGAATTTTGAGTGTAAGGAGGCGATGTGCTATTAAAAGAAAAGGAATAACGCCGTGGATGGTTTTGCTTTGAATCCGCTTTTTTAAGCCTGTCAAGAAAAAATGCACTAAGTGGGGTCTCGGATGGTGGACCTATAAGCCTCCTCGGTAGGGCAATAAGAGACGGTCAATGTTCGCTCTCTCTCTACCCCGCCCTCTCTCCTTCCATCTCAGAAATCCCGCTTTAATGAAGGAAGCGGAGAAAAAAGTGACTCACACAACTCCGCAATACCCAACAGTAGTGGGTGTGGTGGACGCATTAATTGCCGTGCCAACCTCGCCGCCATCAGTTGAAAGTTGACGCTGGGATGGCAAACCGGACAGCTGCTGTCGTTGGACCGGAGCCTGTGTTGTCGACAGATGACGCTGGGACTGGATTTGCTGTCGTGACATATTAGCACCTCGAGCCACCACCATTGGTGTTGGCAAAGCATCTAAAATGAGGACAAATCATTCAAAAGCATGCTCGGATTATGCTCCATGGGTGTATATTAATAAAGTCGTAAAAAAGAAGCAAAAATGAAGGATTTATTATCAACTCAATGTATCACCTATACAGTCGCTTCCTATCGGGCAACATTGTTTCCTACCGAGGTGTGTGTGAGTGGGGGTTATAAAATCACTGTTTGCAATCTCTTTAATACCGACTAAAAGTCATGAAAATTATGTCCCACGGTCCGGTCATACGTCCACTTCAGCTGAGCTGTTAAAATAATGAAGAAGCTAAACACCTTACCAATGAGTGTACTGTTTAGTTAGTGCCTACCATTCAATATTTTTGTCAACGCAAGAAAAAAAAATTCAGCAAAAGAAAAGCATTAGCGGTTGCTTGGCCCTTGACCCGACACATGTGGTAGCGTTTACAATTGATTTTGCAGGCGGTTACTCAACGCTTGACACAAAAACACGAACTAAAATTCTGGCATTTTTTAGCCTTACATAGAAATTTTTCTTAGTGATTCAACCGTAAGTCCAAAAAATGCGAAAGAAACCACGGCGAATTTCTCCACTCACTGCCATTAACTGCGGGTATTTGATTCTACACTTCGCGCTTCTCATAAGAACCACAAAAAGTCTCACCCCTTCCGAGCGAAGGCAGGGGTTGCACCGTGGTGGCATTGAAGCCTGGTGGAAAGACCGCTTGTTGTTGTGGAGCCTGTGGTGGCGGTGGCAGTGGTGCCTGTGACTGAAGTGGTACGGAAGTGGCTCGATGGAAGGCGCGTGTCTGCATGACCGGTGTTGGCGGTGGACGAGCGAGAGCGGCCGAACCAGGTGCGGGCACGGAGTAGTAGAAGGTCGGAGGCATGCCACTCGACTGTAACATCGAAGCCGGCAAACCGGGCCGACAAAGTCGGTACTGCGGAAATGAGGCAAAAGGTGCCTGCTGAGGTGGACGAACTGCACCCATGGTGTTCGCCACTTTCTGTTGTTGTTGCTGCTGCTGTGGTGTCGGTTGAACGGTTTGGCCAGTAGGCATACTCTGCTGTCGTCCGAATTGAAAGGACTTTCGCAAGGAGTGACCAAACTGTCTGGAGTGCGTTTTCTAGAACACCAGGATCAGTTGACAGTTGAATAAATCAGGCGTGTTTCATTTCTCTACACTCTGGCAATAAGCATAAGCATTAAGGCCTTCGGGTGGTTACAAACCTCCCGAATTGATAAGATCTTCGTAATTTTTGAGTGGGGAGGGGATGAAGGGAAGGCACCAGCGCGATTATTTGAAAAGAAAACGAAGTGGTTGCCAAATTAAAATGGCTTGACTCTTGTGAGGCTAGTTCTATAAAATGCAAATTAATTTGACGACTTCGCAACTTACTTCCGCAGAGATAACATGTGTGACATTTATTAAAACATTTCTCCAAAAAAGCATTATTTCAAAATGTCAAAAGATGGTGGATATCTTGCTTACTGACGTAGGAACAAGAGGAAGTGATGATGGCACTGAGGATCACCCCCCTTGAGTCGACAGGATTGAAGGCACACAAGGCCTGTATCCTTACGTGTCCCTCACTACTGTATGATACACCAATTTTCAACCTTTGTTCCACCACTTCTAACTGGAAGACAATTTTTGTGCATTTTTAGTTTAGCCTCTAGCCAAATACACTTGGGAAGGATTTTGACAGGCGAAACTAATATCCGCTGTCGCGTCTGTTCATTAATCTTTATCCGTTCATGAGGTAACTTTGATCCAAGCCCTTCAAGGTGCCAACTTTCAGGTGGAAGAATTAATCGCCGTCTTTCAGCAAATTGTAAACTACTTCAGTGCACAGGATGTTTAATTTACCTTTAAAAAACTTCTAAAACGCCCCTGGGTTTTTATTTTCAAACTGGAGGCTAGGGGGCAATTCTATCACTCTCCTTCTTACACTTCACTGGCCTTAATGCCATAAACATCCCCTGACATTGCTGTATCAAGGCTCTGGATGTGTGTCACACCACACTCTCCGATAATAATCCCCTACCTGCCTGCACTTTAAATCCTTCGCTTACTTTAATAGCCCTGGGAGAGCAATAAAAGTACGCAAGTTACAACGAAGCCTCACATATCCGTGGAAAATCTCGGTCTTCCTAATGAACACATTTACTACCCTTACATACACTGATATGCGCCTGCATAGTCCGCTGGAAGACCAAGTCTATCCTCGGTCACAGATCGCTCTGTGCCAAAAAACTGATGCCGGTGAAATCTCGACTGCCTAATTGGCCTAATAGGCATTAATGTTGGGGGCACCTTTAAGGAGTTAAGCGTTCTTTCGATTACCAAGTGACAGTCTTGATGTTGGGGTGTCTTAACAAATGCCGACGGCAGGAGGCCCCTCCGGCTCTTCTGTTTACTCAACAAAAAAAGACTATCACTACAATATCCCAGAACCTGTAGTTCCCTAGCATGTTAACCAGTGATAGCAATACCCCGGTCTGTATTCCACTCGCTTACCGTTGCAGAGGTGTACTCCTTCACATCGTGGCTATTGGTGTGTGGGTCTGTGGTGATTCCGGTCCAAAAACAATCCTGGCAAAGGTTATACCTCGGACAGCGGGTGCATTTATAGCGCAGACCGACAATTGGCTCGCGTTTGCAGCCCTCACACTTTAATGCGTGTTGAACTGCGTGCAGAGGACAAATAAAAACACTAATATTAGGTTGGGGAAAACCACAGGTAATTTGAGGGCGTCCAAAAGAGGCAAATAAAACCATTTCTAGGCCACTTTTACTTATGCTCTCCACTTGGTGGTTTCATTGTCAACTGTTTAAGTCATAAAAATAAATCATCAATGGTGTGTAGAGATATACGCTGTGTAATACAACTGTGTAAAACCCCCTTTGTTAGAAGAACAAAAGATAAAATCACCCATTTTTTACTATAAAATACCAACAGAGAATGTGATAAAATCAGTGTTGGAACAGTCTCTTCATATACTAGCTGTTGTTATGCATGCATTATTATGTCGGCCCGAGGTGTGATATTTACACATAACTGTCCTGATTACTTGCTTATTTAAGGGGAAAAAGGGCTTTCGTTTGGTTGAGGGGAGGTTACAACGATTTCTGAGATAAATGTCCCAGCCCACTCCCCCCCCTCATCTCAGCTACCCTTCTTCTAGGACCAAATGGATAAATGAGAAGTTAATTGGACTCTCTCCTCCCCTCAAATATGAACATCATAATGTGTTCTTTTTAATTACTCATACGGATTGATGCATTTATTTTCTCCTTCTCTTCTTTTTTTGTTTCAAAAGTTCCATTCAAACACAACTTGGCGGTTGAAAAGTTTGATTTACATTCGAGTGACTTTGTTTCAACAAAATAGCAAAAAGAGGGGAAAAAAATCAAGACTAAAGGAGATATAGCCTTTTTTCTTTTCTTTTTCTGGTTTATAATCTACCACGAAAAGTGGAAACAACATGTGACTCCGATGCAGGATGTTTCCATGCATTACTATTAATTGCCTTGTTAATTGAGATGGGGATTACCAGGGAAGGATTATAAGGGAAGATCAGGCACGGGTTGTCAACATAAGAGAAACAGGGGCGTGGAGGGGAGGGGGGAACTTCTAAAAATTTGATTTAAAAGGGCTATTTCCTATGTATGGCCCGAAAGCCAGTAATTACTTCAACAAAGGCAAACGCAACTAAAATGATTAGTGCGCTAAAACGCCCCGTCAAAATTGGAGAAAAAGCACCGTTTTTTAATCGCAAATAAAAAGGAGTAATGTATTTTACCGTTTTCAACTATCCCCAAGCGGTGAAACACCTTGAGCCAGCTGAATGATTGTGGCCCGGGTTCTGTCAGCATTCTTTCGAGAAACTCCTCCAGCGTAAATGTTTTCGACTTCTGCATTTTGCATTTCGGCATTCAAGTGATAAAGGGCAAAAAAGCATTTCATCAAAACGTCACATAAAATGATGGCAATTTTTAATTGTAGAGAATGACTTCTGTGATTAGGATTTAAAAAACTGTAAAACAGAAAATTGAGGGTTTCGACTCTTCCAGCATTAAAAGATGAATTTACGTATTTATGAGAGCTGAAAAAAGCTATTCGATTGGAACTGTACAAATAAACGGGGAGCTTATTAGTTGGTATCCACTTCGAGTCCCACAAAATCTTTTCTTTATTACCTCTTTAATGAAGACTTACACCCGTAAAAAGGAATTTGGAGGTCTGGGAATTGTAGGAGAAGTTGGGTTCCTCAAAAACCCCGACCGCAAGAGATAGCAGCTCTTGAAGATAGGCTTCTAGCCTCTCGATTTGCAGTACGCCCGCCGAGTTCACCAGTAAACTGTAATGGTCTGCAAAAAGGAAACAAAGTAGCTCGACCACATTTTGGAAATTCATTAATCACAAACGGAAGACGGTGGCGTGAAATTAGACTGCAATGGATGTTTGCTTTCGATAGAGTGAACAATGTGGTGGTTCCATATGTGGATCTCCTGCTAAGCAAATGTTGCAGCGGCGGCATACGGAACATAAAAGATATACTCCACATTCATAATTTTTCCCAACGTCTTCATTTACTCGCTACGGTAACACGAATTCCGAACCTAGGTTTTTTCAGCTATTCATATTTATTTTATTGCCAAGCGGAATATGTTAATTCCATTAAATTCACAGGAGTGACCGACAAAAAGTGGCATCGAATGTCATCAAAGCCATAGAAGAAGGCCGGTGTTTATGATTTAGGAAATGGGTTTTTATTTAAATTTCCCTAGAAGAATACCTATAACCTGAGGGAGCCTTGTATAATTCGGGTGAACAGGTTACCTTCTTTATGTAAGAATGCGTTCCAAAAAGTTTTATCATAAATACCACACACAGCATAAGGTGTTTTAAAAATAGATCTATTCATAATTAAGCACTATAAATAAAAACTGAAAATAGCTTAGGCCGCCCTTTTATAAGCATAATGCGCACTCCTCCTTGTTCAGTTTTGGGTACTAACTTATTGAAATTTATGTTATATCTATTATTAAATCATATTTTCTTATGAAGAAGATTTGTGAAATTCAAGGTTGTAAGGTCTTTCGCGACGACCCTTTAAGTGTAGAAATCAAATTAGATGCTAGATAATAAAAAAATTTCTGTTTTTGTGCCAAACTTAAGGAACAATAAACAGGCAGTATTATTTTATCGAATCAATTCAACCAATAAGCATAACGGTTCCCAAATACGAAACAATTGTTATCTTCGTATAATGCAATTCTTAAGCAAAAGTCGAAGGGACACAATGCCTGCAAGCCCGAATATATGTAAATTACATAAATTTGTAGAAAAGAACAACAACTACGCTAACTCCCCAAATAGCACAGGACTTAAGCTAGTTGCATTTATAAATAGATAATTTTCGTGACACATTTTAAGAACCTATTTGAGAAAAAAAAACAGACAAGTAACATAAGTGAATCAACCAATCGCTGTATACTCTGGAAGAGGGGTCCTTTTAAGTGCCATTGGTTTGGGACATCCTCTTTTTGGGCAAAAAAACTCAGCCCATCTAATCTGATGGTCATGGGCTTAACGCCCCCATCAGAGAAGTGGGGATATAAGATCACCGCAGTGTGGTTTGTGCTTGTAGCAAGCAGATTAGCAAACACAGCTAATGGGAGATAGTTGGCACAAAGGAAATGCCGTTGCATCCGCCGATAACTGTCCCATACCGAGAAACAGGTGACGGTGTCTTGTCAAGAAGTGGCAAACTGTATGCATGCAACAACTTGGTGTTGCATTCTCACACTAATAAAAGAGGCGTGAGTAAGGAAGTTCACCATAAAGCCAAGCATTTAAATTAATCAACGCAGTTTACGATTTCACTTAAAGTACTTGTTGGGTGCGAAGAGACGAAAGTGGCAAAGTCTACTTATCTGGCTTGAAAAATATTGCCCTCGTTTTTCAAAAAAGCGAGTTCTGCTTTACAAATTCAACTCAAAAATGATAAAATAGAAGTCATTGCGTCTAGGATACATGTGTAATTACCGTGGAATAACAGACGTGATAAATCAGGGCCTTGAATGCATGGTTATGCAAAGGTCTATTTTGTAAAGATTTTAAATACCCTCATATTACAGCAATTTCTTATTGTGCAATAATAAATTAAGTTAATATATCGATGGGAGGAGGTAGTACGCATACAATTAGCTGTCGTGCTCTCAGGGGAAAATCGACTACCTCAACTCATGAAAGATGATATATTTGAACTTCTTTGGCCAGAAAATATTTAAAAAAATAATATTTTAAATGTACTTTATTGTTTTAAAATTAATCATCTTATTTGCAGCATGACTTAAACGAATTGGTTACCATAAAATGATAATGAAATACACGTCACGTATATGTGACGCCGACAGTAAATCTATTGCGCACATAATTACACTCATTTGTACAAGAATCCTTTGACTGGAGATGGTCTAGGAATGCAACCAACTGTGTGGGAATATTTGTGGACGTCTGGACAAATACAACAATTTTCTTCACATAAGCTGACTCCATTCATCTTAGGGATCTCCCTACTTTTTACTCGAAAGTGTTTAAGCTGCCTCGTACAGCGTTAGCTACCCACAGATTGCTTTAAAAGGAACTTTCCAAAAAACTCACTGCGGAAGCCTCGAGATTGGAGTCAAAGAAAAAGGAGAAAGAAATGAAGAGAGTGTCACGCAAACCTAAAAGGCGTTTAGAGGTATTTCTGTGTTGCAAAATAAGACATTCTCTGGGTATGTGCACGATGATGCCGATGAGGAAGGAGATAAATAAGTGTACCCTCCACATCCTACTTTATTCCTTTTTCCCATAAGAAACAACTAACAAAAATCTTTTCACGCCTTAAACCCGAAATTTTAAGGCCTCTTAGCACCCTTAATTTTAATTAAGAGTGAGACATCTCATCCCGCTCTGTACCTGAACCCTGAGCATTTCTTTGGCTTTAAGGCAGAAAAATTTATAATTTTGTATTAACCATATATTTTTGAAGAGGGAATTCAGAGCAGTAATTAGTTCATTTGTAGTACAAAGCGATTTATGCTATCTGATGTGTAAGTAATCGGGGAGAAAATTAAAGAGCCTTCAAAGCATTCTTGTAAAAGATGTTTAGGGTGAGCTATAATCTTTACCCAGCCAACCAAACGTCCTTTTCTAAAAATTAAGCGATTCATGAGGAAAGTACACTTACAAGTGAATTTGTCAATCGGTCTTCCAGTAGCAAGAGTCGACAATGCTACTTTGAGCCCACTGACAGCTAGACGACCACAGTTGGTGGGATCGAGGATGTAGGTCAACCATCCCAGTAGTATCTCACCAGCCTGAGCCATCGCAAACTGAGCTCCTGTTTCATTTGAGGCAATGCCCTTTTCAATGTAGAGCGGGACTAAAGCCGTGTAGATTCGGTTGAGAAGATGCTCCGTCCCCTGACGATTAAGACTGGTAGATGGATCTGTCGAGTGTAACCCCAACTCCCTGAATGTCTCCAGTAGACGCCATAGCTCTATGGAACTGACTGCGGGAAGAATAAAGAACAGTGAGACAGGAGAGGGTCAATGATGAGGTGGAATGTATCCCGTCGTTAGGTTCAAAAACAGATTCAGCAGCTGCAATTATTTCCTTTTTTCTACAAATCACAAACCACATGGGAAGAAAAAAGTGAGACAGGTATTTCTCTTGCGAATTTTTAAATACCCCAGCGATTCAGACACACGGCGCAAAATGTCACCTAAATGTCACTCACCCAGTCTGCATGCCAAAATAAGGGAGGGCGTCAAGGGAGACATAAATTTTGTCCTAAATGTTAAATGACTTTGAATAAGTGTACTTGTGTGAAAGCAGACAAGTTTACCTGGATATTCTCGCTTATCGCCTATTGCAGTCGCACCAAAAGTAACCCTAAAAAAGTGTCAAAGAAGTTCTTTTACTCAGATTCAGGGTTTATTCCCAACTTGCCATTCAAGAAAACTCCATTTTTCTCTCACCTACTGAGATTAGTAGAACTTCATTGAGGAGAAGTCAGGCAAAGAAAAACACCTACTCTCTTTCCCAGACATACCGACACTAACGTGGCATTCATTCTCCCTCCAAGTCTGTTGACTTGATAGTATTTGAAGGATGGAAAAAAAAAATATCTCCTCCTCCAACTTTCTTCTTTACGCGCACGCAATCAGCCGTCCAGATTGAATTACTCATGCGCGGTAACCCTCACTTTTGCCGCGGAGGGCACATGCGGTGTGATTCACGATGGACACGAACCCGGACTGTCTAACAACAGCCTCAACAACAGGCAAAGGTGGACTTTCACAAGCCTCCCATGCTTTCCTCTTTAACTACTAGAAAAAGGTAAAAGACCGAATTCTTTCAGGTACACCAATGCAAAGAGATGCCTGTGTATGAATAAATTAAACATTGGCATCTCCCATCTGACGACGAAAGAAAAAGAGAAGGTGTACGTTTAGAAAGAAGCTAAAGTGGATATGTAAATTCAACTTTTGCAAAATGTGATAGAAGGCGAAACATCATTACACACATTCTCGGCCATGTAAACAACTACCTTCACACCTTCCTACCTCGGAACCTTGGATTGAATAAGGCCGGGGTTCGTATTCCCATTGGGTACAAGCTATAATGTGATATTTCACGCCTACAACCGGCCCAAATCTATTCAAGGGTAAAGTTTCAACTTCTGAGCCCGTAAAGCGAGCTCATTTCCCCATTTTTCATTTTGCAATACGCTCCGCAATTATGTTCATGAGGAGTGATAAATGTCGCCAGGATTTAGGTGTGCACTAATGCAGCAGCGCTTAGACACCCTTCCGACAAAATACTTTTCTATTTTCGAGGCAAAAAAGAAGAAATGAGAGAAGACGGATTCGTCACCTCAGAGACCCGAAAAATCGATAATGACTTGACAAAGTGGATGTTCCTCCTCCATGACAAAATGTCAAGTAGGCTGTGTGTCCTCGTTTAAAATTCTGAGAGAGAGAGAGAGAGGAAGAAAAGAAAAAGGCAAAATGATTCTTTTCTTTTTTTCTCTTCATAAAGACGCACAAAATTTCCACCGATAGATTTTGACGTTAATTAACTGAATGTTCTAGCCCAGGATTCCGATTTATCAAGCTGCCATCAGCACAGTTGCACACAGCTGCCTATTCTTGGAGGGCTGAACACAACTTGTGTTTAAATCTTTGTGTCCAATTAAGGCACATCATTTAAACAAACGCGCGCGCCTTCAAGAACGTCCTCTACGAATTGCCATTTGAGGTCACAGCGACACGGCTTTTAATTGGCGATATTGTGAGGTATGAAATTGGGAAGAAAATTATTTTCGCTAATTAGATCTTCTGCTCTAGTTAGGGTGGTGATTTCAACGACTGTGATGGTGATGGTGGTGGTGACGATGACGTTGATGATGGTAGTGGCGGAGATGACTACAACGACGATGGCGAAGATGATGACGATGATAATGCTACTCTAGGGCGAGGCGAGGCAGTCAATCGATAGACGACATCAACGCAGCCTCGAGGATTGCGTAAACGCGCTGGAAAAGACTTGGAAACCAGCCAACCAATGGACACACAGCAGGCAAGGCCATAACTCAACAGCCAATACCCATATACTCTCCTCTATCTTTAACAAAGAAGCCATTTTCTCCAAGAAAACCAACAAATTTGATGTAAAGATATGATCTTGGCTGTGCCACCTCCACGCCCCTACCCTACCCCAATCCTCTTCCTCCTCCTCCTTCAGTTTGAGCCCGAGGGCACATCGGATTCTCCTTACTCAAATGGTGAGAATGAGCTGGCACGACAATATCTTAACATGTATAGCACCAGATAGGCTACTCAAATAACCCAATGTTTTTTGACATGGTATAAGTCAAGCCTTTATTGCATGGAGAATGATCTACATTACGAGTGCATTAAAGGACGTGCAGGCACATGTTGACCGTATCCTCAAAACAACCACTTAGCGGCGGACATCTTAGTCCAGAAGCTGGTCGTGTGGATGGAATTGATGAGGTTAAAGTGGTGCACTTAGAGTGGTCTAGAAATCAAGTTGCATTTAAGTGAGAATGCACCAGGAAGCAAATAAAGGACCCTATGATGTCCGTCCAGGGCCCCTGCTTCTTTTGAGAAAAATACTTATAGTTTGGATACTTCAATGAAAAGTGTGCACGGACAAGCGACTCACGTAGGGTCCGCTTCTGGATGTACCGCAGTTTGCTTGCGGTACGGTACGCAGCAAAACGAATTTGGTCGAATTTTTTGGCCTCTAGAGAATGGAGAGAGTGGCTTTGTGATAAACTTTTTAAGTAAATCAAAACTATAATGCTCTATCTAATCGTTGTTTACTAGGTGGCTATAGATTACACTGGTATGATTCATTCGTTTATTCATTGCTCTATTAGGAAGGGCTTTTGAAGATTAAAATTATAAGATAACTTTGCATTTTATCCAAGGACTAAACAAAGAAGTAATATTTGGAAAAAACGAACAAAACTCTTTTATTGAAGCCAATTTAAATAAGTGCCAAAGTTGGAAGCCCATAAATGAAAATATTATATATGATACCAAACCCAATCGTAATTTATTTAAAATACTTAACTGACTTGATTTTACATATTTTTTTATAACCAAACACTAAATTCAATAAGGCAGATATTTATAAATGTGAAATGTCAAAAAATTTATCTCTGGGATGCGAATTTTTAGAGATATTGGTGTACGAAAATACTGCCTTTTCACCTTTGACAATGTCACATACCCATCACATGCACAAAGCAAAAAAATACTTGATTTAACTAACTCAAATAAATTATTATTATTATTATTTAACAATCATATTTAATAAATCTCCGCTCCAAAAACACCAATATAACATGTTGAGGTGCTTTGTAATCGAGTGCTCGACACGTTTGGATCAGCTGTTAGATGAACTATTTTTCTGAGTAATCAAACTGCACCTCCTTCTTATATTATTTAGGTAACAGCGCAAAAATTCTTATATTCCCTCCGCTTATTGGAAGCGGAACATACTTAATTCAGCCAGAAGTCGACGAAAACCAGCAAGAGCCGCATTACTAGCATCAACTGCTGTTGCGTTCACGGGATACATGTGTGCCGGTTGTTGGGGATGTTGAGTTGGACTGAGTTGCGGAGCCATTAACATTTGACTTCCATTTGATGCGTAAAAAAGATTGGAGCTCTGCTCCTTGGACGGGACTGTTGGAGCACTGGCCGTCACTGAAGTTGTTATCTGCTGGAAGCTTTGGGGTCCTTGCATTTTGGAGGACGTTCTACAAGTCATTGAAGCTAAACAGTTGTATAAAAACTTCTAAAACTGTTTAAAATTTCAAATACACATTTATGAGTGCAATAAAACTAACTATAGTAGAAAAATGGATAAGAGAGATAGGCAGTAGATAGACTGGCTTGGATTCTAAACGGGAAGTAAAATGACAGTCATGGTTTCAAATCCTATCAAACATAGTTTTAAAACAAGTATACATTATTAAAGAGTAGCTTGATAAAGAAAAACTAAAACAATATGGAACATTAATAAAATATGCTCTAGCAAGCAAAAATAATGAAGAACGCGGGACGTGGTGACCAAAAATGAAAAAAGAGCCCTAAAAGGCTAACTTGGTGTTCTATAAAACAGCACTTCAAAGTGCAGCGTTGCTACTACGGACCAACAGAAACAAAATTTTACGAGGTGACGGGGAACTGCATACATTTATAATATATGATTACATGGTATATGATTGGGAAGCAAAACTATTATCTGGGACAGCAAACACGAGCGCCCTAGAAGCTTAAAGCTTTTATCGGCTTAGCCATACTTTTACAAAAACCACCCGTTCCTGAAGTTCGGCGTCTGCTAAAGAAACCTAGCTTCAATGCGAGTTTCTCTGCATTTAAATTACCACCTGCAATGGCAATTTGTATAAGCCGCATCAAGGTCATCCCTGCCATCCTAAATTTCTTATGTCAAACGCTAACTTCAGAATTGAATTCTCAAAAAAATAAATAAAAGTAATTTTAAAATTGTATTGCGCTATACATTGCGTTTTACAAGACTGAGAAACGTCCAATTGTTAAACCCGTTCCTTTCCTTAACATAACGACCAAATGCAGTGCTATCATAGCTTAGATTTATTTGATCCAATGACCTTTTTAAATTTAATTTTTAAAAAGGTTTTTAACCCTAAACAAAGCTTAATTAACCGATGTTCTACATTAAAATCTAAGTACTCTATGCTACTTAATATCTATCAGCTGCGACACACGTTCTTGGTTTAGTTAACTGTAAACACTGGTCGTTTTTCTAAAGATGACTCCTAATTTGTAAATGACTTGATGATTTGAAACGGCGCTCCTTAACTCATATATTCTGATTTCCTGCTTTCAATAACCCCATATCCTTCGTAAGTTATTGAAGCTCCCAAATGCTTCGCTAAAGACGAAGGAAGTCATAGTGCTTGGACAGGAGGCACATATTTACCCTACAGAAGGAGTTTTGACCACTGGCATGGCCTAGAGGCTAGCCCATCCAGCGGAGGCACAGTGGCCAGGATACAGAGTGGCCCTCTACCCAAACCGCGAGTTAAACAGTCATCATATTCTACCAACACTAAACTGTTGTTCTAGAAACGGTCTATTTGGTAAAACTATGCTAAAATGAACGGAAATAAGGCTACGATCATATTTCTGGCGAGGTCCGTAGTCAATTAAATGCGCAAATCTGCAATTA